TCAAGAAATATTCTTTTGCAAAAAGCATCTCCCAAAACTGAAATCAAGAAAATGCCTTTTTGATGGAGTCTGTGCTAGATTTGGCTGACTGAAAAAGGAATTTTGGAGCCAGGGTGGTTGACTCAATGAAAATGTCAGAATTAAAGAATGAGTTTGATTTACCTCAGAGTGCTTCCTGGCAGCTTAGTCAACACAAGCATTTATTATTCAGTTTATTTGGTCCAGATGCTATTGCAGCTTCTGAAGTTCTACAGTGGTTAGAGGTTTTAGAGGAATTAACTGCGGTTCCTAAGCCAGGAACCTTTTTGGTAAGAAGTTGAAGCAAGCTGATAAAATGTAATATTAGTTATTTATGGGACATCTGAAATAACAGGCTTGATAAACATTGGAGGGTTCTTTTAAACAATGTGAAATCAGTTTCCTATTATTTTAGAATTAAGCTAATACAACAACATTTGGGTTTTAACCTTAGATGCCTCAGAGAATCAGGGTTCACTTCAATCATCTTGCTGTTGGAGGTGGAACTCAGATGTTGGAATATTAACTCATATGGTTTGGTCTTCTCCTACTGTTGTCACATTTTGTGACAAAAATAGGACAGGATTATCCATGTCACTTTGGATCAAGTGATACATATTAATATATCTTAGCCATATTCCCAGTACTTGGAATCTATCAAAATAGCAAGATTTTTGTGGATTTTTTTACTCATGGGCGTGGCTAAAAGAATAATTATACAAGACCGGAAGGAGAAATCTATATCTTATTTACAATAGTGGATTGTTGATATTTGTTGTCCATCAACATTTGAATTAGATTGTTTTTTTTTTCAACAAAAGGACAAGAAAGATTTTCAAAAATAACTTAATTTTACGCCCCCTCCTTTTCCTCTTTTAAATGACTGTTACGATTACTACATTCGATGATACTACAGTTTTATTAATACATTAATTCATTATAGTATGTAATGATTCATTAATACTGTAATATATGTTTAGATTTCATTCTGTTAATTAGTTGAGCACAACGGCTTTTTTTTAAGTGTAGCCACCAAATTATATTGAAAATTAAGCTTTTAATATCAGAATGCCTTCATTACTGATCTGTGGTGTAGCTACATATGGAACACTTCATACATTTCTAATTCCTGCTCCTTAATAATAACCTTGCAAAATGTTGGAATGTTGCTTCTTTTTAACCAGAAAAGCAATACAAGAGGGTTTGTGATTATTGGGTGGTAGAACTGCCAATGAAACCATAGCAACACAGGATGCCTCCTCCTAGTTTCTATTTCAGAAGGAACTGAGTATACATTGTAGAATCAGGTTAACATGTTTATAAACCTTTTTAAGTTGTTCAAAAAACTATTTTTTAAAAAATCAACTTATTTCTTTCCACATTAAACATGTGATTGTGCTCGCCTGGGTCTTCCCCGTGTTCCACCTAGTTACATTATTGAAGAGGTGTAAGTATATAATGGAGAAAAAGGAAACTGTTTCTAAATCCAAGGGGGTCAGGTGATGGCAGAAAGAAAATAGATCTTCTAAAGTACAGTATTCCCAGAGTTTTGGGGTTTCGCTTAGTTTTCAACAACAATGACAAGATTTAGAGTTGCTTTGTGTGATATAAATGTGAGAAATAAACAAACAAGTAAATAAAAATTAAAATGAAATGGCACTGAGAGCCAAAAGGTGGATATGGATATTCTAGAGTTCTATGGAATTATATATAGCGAGGAAAAGATAGGGTGAATGCTTAATCTCTCTTCTTTAATGCAGGGCTCATGGTCATAACTGCATTATAAACTGGGATCATCTATGAAGCTGGATGATGTGAAAATTATATAAGATAGATAAAGGAGCACTTTTTTCACTATAGTGTTTGGGTAGATGATGGAATTCACTACCACAAGATGCATGGATGCCCACCAACCTGGACACCTATAAAAGGCAATTTACAAAAAAAAAATCATGGAAAGCTAGGCAGGATAAGAGCAGGGAGTAGCGCATAAGAAGGTGTTCTTCCATTCATGTTCTGCCTGGGGCATCTGGGTGCTCCCTCCGAGAACAGAATGATGGGTTAAATAAGTCTGAGGCTTCTTGGTGAAGCACCATGGGCCCCTGTTCCATTGGCCTCTATGCCAATATCCAGAAGACACTTCCAGTGATATTCTGGAAACATGCATGGAAGTTTCATCCAACTACTGGAACTGTGAGATGAGACACTGAGGCACAGGGGAGCATCTCATCGAAGAGAATCGTGTCACTTCTGTCATGCAAAGACAGGAGCTCCTCAAGATGCTGCCAAGCTAGTTCAGGCCTGGGAGATAAATGGAACAAGTACAAAGTCCTCTTTCTTCCGATCCTCCATGCTTGGGGCCATTTCATGGTTGACATAGCAATCATTGCCACTGCAAATGCTTGACTCCCAAAATAATTAAAACTCATGTTAGCAGGTCGACTTGCTGTATTTATCTTCTGCAACCTGGATGCACCTCCACACAAATGTTAAGCATGCAGCTAAACTATGGAAAGTGTTGATGCTGGAAATGATGAAGTCAATGCACCTTTACTCCACAGAGGTAGTGGTATAGTTGGGCAAAAGGTCCCCTGCTTTGGACCTTGGACCAAACTGACTGACACCTCCCATTTTTTTCTGACACAGCAACACTTCCATTGCTGCTCTAGGAGAACAGAAGTGGGGTGTTGGGACAGGCATTTAGTCATCTCTGTTCATGTACAGTTGACACACTTCTAACAGTTATACTGTATACACTCTTCTAATAGTTATAAACAGTAGGTGTCATGACCCAAGTTCAAAGGAAAATTAGACTGCATTGCCCTGCCTGCTAAACTCACCATTTTATTTGTTTGTCTACAGATTTCTAGTTTCAGGCCTAATGCCTCTTTCCACTCAAAAGCCCCTCTTAGAAGCATAGCACTAAAATTCAAAATACGCAATAGGGGCTGGGCAGAAACCAGACTCCCCAGCTTTTTCATAACCAGATACATACTTTTACCTTTCTACTTCATTCTGATCCAGGTATTTGAACTCTCGCTAAGCTCAGCTTGTGGAAAAACTAAGCTTTGCCCCAGAAGTTCTAGTCTGATCTTGCACTTGATTCTTGACATGTTTACTAAAGGTCAAGTCTTTCTAAAAGTTAAACTCAACATTGGTGAAAACACCCATGCAGTTTTCTTGGCAACAATACCAAAGTGGTTTGTCAATATCTTCTCCCCAGCCTAGTCTACAATCCTAAAATTTTCTGGTTGTGTCCTTTCCCAATGCAAACTACGTCCAACTCTGCTTACTTTCCAAGCCCAGATGTGGCCATCTGCTGATAGCGGGTACTAATAAGGAAATGGAGAATGCTGGTCCTTTTTGAACAAACACATTTCAAGAACAATGTGTTAAGGCCATAATGCATTGCCTGCATGAAGTTTTATCTCTGGTCTACTGATCCCAGAAGTTGGCCACAGGAAGAAAAGTTCTGGAAGATATGGCAAGGAAAATAAATTAAGGGCATTCTATCATGATAGTCTGCAGTTTGGGTGGCTAGGCTTTGGATCCTATCTCCAGAAATGTTTTTGATCAGATGAGTACAGAGGAAGGCAGTACCTCTGCACCACACCTTCAAGGAGCTGTCCCTTTTCCTGTGATTGAACTGCCATGTGCCATGTTCATCTTCCTGCACTCTCTGAATCACTTTTGGGTGATCAAAGCCACAGCGTTGCCCAGTTTTAGCAGGGACCATCCAAAGAGGAAATCTTAGGGATCCACCGTTAACTACAGTAGTGAAGAGGTGATGATGTGTGCAGGGCCAAAGCCCACCTTTCTTACTTGTGTTCCCACAAGTCATGGGATTTGCATCATGACATCCTGGCACACATTTTGTCACTTGTTTCCTTGTCTCCCTTGCAGTTTTCTATGAAGGAAATATATTCTTTGGGAAAAGAAATAAGTGGAATTCAGTGTGTTGACTGCTACTGGAAGCAGAATAACAAACTATATAGTTTGATTCGGCGTGCATTTCCAGAAACATCTGGCTGGCCACTTTTGGAAACAAATATTGAGCTATGTTTATATGGAATATCTTGATATCCCAGATGCTTTCTGAAGTCATTGGTTGCCATTGTTGGAAATATGCAGTTATTAAATGATGTGTGAGAGCTTCTTGGAAGCACCTGACCGACCATTGCTGGAGAGAAGAGCTACATGGGCTTGATCCAGATTAGCTTCCAGAAGAATGTGTCTGGCCACTGTTCGAAATAGGAGAGAGTTTCCTACAAGCACGTAGTTCCCGCTGTTGGAAACAGGCGCCTACGGAGTTCCATGGACTGATGCAGTGAAAGTTCCCTGGAAGAATTTCCTTGACCACTGTTGGGAGGAGGAGGATGTCAAAGTACAAGCTTGACCCAAGAAAAGTGCTTCTCCGTGCTCGGCAGAGTCGAGACACATATTAAAACCGCACTTCCAAGACAGGCACGGCTGTATCCTGGAGAAGCAGCAGCGGCGTCTGCGATTTTCGGGGGGCGGGGGCGGGGGGGGGCAGAGGGACAGCAGGCGCTCAGCTTTCCTCCGATTGGCCCACCTCTTCCCCAACATTCAAAGTTTTCCGAGGCCCGGAACTTTCAGCCGCCAATCGCCGCCCTTCTCCCGTCCCCCTCCCCGCCTGCGCCGTCCCCCCCGGTTATTCCTATTCAGCGAGGTGGTGCTGAATAAGTGCGGGAGCCCCTCCCTCCGGCCCGGAGAAGGAGGGAGCGAGAATAAAGCCAGATAGCGGATCGGGCTCGGGCAGGAGAGGT